TTTTTTTTTTTTTTTTTTTGACATTTTCCCTGTTCGGGAGCTTGTGAATTCAGATTAATCACTTCCACATACATTTAGACTGTCGGCTTCGAAGGGAAATTTTCAATTTTATTACTGCATGATTTCATCCAAAGCTGTTTTATCAACACCAAAAGGATGCCCGCCATACAGTTCAAATGATGACAAAACATTTGACTTCAGGATCCAAGCTCATGGTGGGGGGCAGGAGAGGGACATGCAGAGGGTCACAGTTTGGGCACCTTCAATAGCCTAAAGAAATCTGTGCCACCATTACTGCTGTCTCCTCCTCAACAGTGTATCTTGTTTCCTTCCCTGCCTCCAGGTTTGTCACAGCCTGTACTCCCGGAAACGGCAGTTCCGTCTACTAATGCCTGTGTTCCCCTTGGCAGGTACCATGACCAGCAGGATGTAACTAGTAACTTTCTGGGTGCCATGTGGCTCATCTCCATCACATTCCTTTCCATTGGTTATGGGGACATGGTGCCCCACACATACTGTGGGAAAGGTGTCTGTCTCCTCACAGGCATCATGGTGAGTACCCGCTCTGTCCATTACCCTACCCACTCAGCAGAGCCCTTTACTGTAAACAGAGAACTGCCTTCCAGTGAGGTGTGGGTGGTGGGAGCTAGTTAACAGGCCTGCACATGAAATCCACAGAAGGCAGACATGAAATCCACAACCGTTTCTTACTTTTTTGTTTGCTTTTGTAAAGTTAATGGTCTCATTGCAACCTAACAAAAATGGGCTGCAAAGCTGGCAAAGGTCAGACTCTCCCCTTCCCACCCAGACTACCTAGTGTGCCCCACCCCCTCAGTGAGCATCAGGGCTTGTAGCACATTGTCCCCTTGCCTGCTCCCTGCCTGCCCCTTGACTGTGGCACCATTTCTGGTTGATTAAGTTTTGCTGGAACTCATGGAGGTGGGGATGGAGAAGAGCACTGAACTGGCCTTAAGAGACCTGAGTCCTGGGGGTTTGGCCACTGGTTTGGGTCCAAGTTGGGCTCTATGGCCCTAGGACTACTCTTGACTACCCCAGGCTTCAACTTCCCCATCTGTGGGTGCTGGGCTCTGCTCCCCTACCCAACACATGGGGTCAGGAGTCAGAGCCAGAACCTGAATCCCCTCTGCTTCCCCTCTTCTGGACCCTGGGCAGTGCACTGAGCCTGTGGGACCTCAGTGTCTCCAGGGTAAAGGAGAGCTGGAAGACCTGCCCTGCCCTCCTCACTGGCTTATGATGAGGATCAAATCAAACGATTTCACGATTTCAGTGAAAGCACTTTGTCAGCCATGTAGGGCCACACACAGTGTCATTGTGGGCAGGTCCTCCATGTCCCCAGTCTCTCAGCAGCATCGTCCCTTCAGGCTGATGAGGATCCCTTGGCCATGCAGTGCATTAGGTGCAGGACAGGCACCACGGCTCTTAGTTTCCTTCTGGAATCCTCGCACACAGAGTGTCAGAGCTAGTGGGATCCTCTTTTCAGAAGAGGAAACTGAGGGCTCATACCTAAGCTTGGGAAACATGAGGGGTAGCGGTGGGGGTGTGGGGTAGATAGCAGTGTTTGTGAGATGCTCTAGGTCTCTGTGGTAGGACACCACAGCTCTCCCCAGGGCAGTCCTCTGTCTGCTCCTTCCATCAGGCTTCTGTGGAAGTCGGCACTTCCTCGGATTTCATTCATCTCCCCATTTCTTGGGGAGAAAAGAAAGACCTTCCTTCCAAAAGGGACAAGACTCCTTTTTGCAGTGGAAAAGGAAGGCTGCAGCTCTTCCTCCAGAGCCTGAATGTACTCCTCAGGGGATGTCAGTCCTTCCCCCACGCAGCCCAACTGTGGGACTGATCTCAGTGGCCAAAGCAGCCAGACTCAGGCCGCTCAGTGCAGGAGAGGCCCTGGCAAGTCTTCTGGGGTTGGAGGCCTGGGTAGTGAGCTGGAGGTGGCCCAGTGCTGCTATTCTGCCACTGGACACAGCCCTCTCACCTTTTCTGACTAAAATCCAGGGCAGGCCCACGTTTGCAGGCAGATACTGAAGCAGCAGTTAATGACTAAAGGCTTAGCATCGAGCTGGGGATACATCATGGGTCTAAGTGTAGGGCTTTAGAATAAACACCTCCCATCCATTGGTTAGTAGGAGTCTGTCTGGCACAACTCCAACTGTCATCAGGAAACCAGGGAAACAATCTTCCTACCAGAAAGCTATGAAATGCCACCTGATGGCCAATGCTTTCCTGTGTCCTTAGAGCCAGCCACTCCTGGGGCTGGGCTTTGTGCTCCAGAACCATCCCTTGGCCAGGGGCAGGCTTAGATCCTGGCTGCCCATTGGTGGATGGGCCCTGCTGGGAGCCTCTTATTTTTAAATACCAGCCATTCTTCCTCTCAGCATGGAGCTGTGCCACATCCAAGAAAACAGTCTCATTTCTCAGCCACTTCATTTGTTCCCTGAGTCTCCTGCCTCTTCTGGCTCCTGCTCTGGCAAAGCCACATGGAACAGGCAGAACCCCCTGAGCCTTGAGGTGTGGACTTGAGTAGGCTGCTTCTGGTTCAGCACCCTCTTGTTTTGCCTGGGTCTACGGTAGTTCCTTGGAAGGGACTGTTTTGTTATTTGTGGAGAGAGGTGAGATCAAAATGGAAAGAGCAAACAGATGAAGAGGAACTGGTACCCACCTTCACTAAAAAGAATACAGCACATGCCTTTTATCTTCTCCCTCTGCACAAAGCCCCACTGCATAAATATGTTTCTTTCTATATAGAGGTACGGGGCACATTCCTCTATTCATGGTCAGTGGTTTTACCCAAATTAAAGTCAGTTGCCTCACTCTGGAATGAGCCACAGAGAGGAACCCTGGCTGACATTTTTCTAACAAATGTGACTTATCTCGCTGAGTCACTCCTTTCAAGGGTTTTGCATTGCTGAGAATCCCTGCCTCCCCCTCCCCCAGCCTCCCAATACTATGTATATCTCCTGATTATTATTGCAAGTGCCTTGACTAAAGGTAGGGCTTCCTATTTGGTTACCATGGACACCACGAAGGCCAAGGCAGGGCCTGCTTGGGAAGGGAAAGGAAAGATTTGTGTGTGCGGGCTGCAAATAGTCTTAATCATTGTTTTCTCTTGGCAAGCCCAGTAACGGTGTAATTGTCAACCATTAAGCAGGGTGTATAATTGTCTGAACAACTTGACATTGCTGGCACAGACTTGATGCCTTTGGGAGATTTCACCAGCAAAAGCAGAGATAGCAGATACATTCTTTCCATAAAGAATTTTAATGATAGCAGTTACAATTCCATAGAGGAAAAGCTGTCAATATTTAATATCCTGAATTGGAAATAACAGTGAAACACTTCAAGATGTGCCTTTACCAGCCATTTGGTTCTGCAGGCTTCTGGCAGACCCTGCGTGCCCCTACGTCCTTTTGGTAGTAACCCCGTTTCAATTAGCCACTTTGTAGAACCAGACTCATTGTGTGGAAGCTTCATGAGTTTGGACACATAGACAAAACCTTTCAGGATGCCTGCTACGGATATTGAGCTTTCCCCCAATGGCTTCATGAGAGACGCCTCTTTGAACTGCAAAAGGAAAGTGATGAGGAAGTAAAAGGTAGCACAAATTGAGTCATTTTGGGAGGAGGGAAAAAGAGGGCTCAGCAAGACATCTGCTTAATGTCAGTTTTAGAAGATGAGCTTCTCCCTGAAACACCTTGGTTTCAAACCAATTGATGTTATTTTAGTTGTTACATGGAATCTGTTGAAGGAACAGAATCCAACTTTCAGTCCTCCAGGCTTCCCTCCTCCATTTGTCACTTTCATTTATGTTTTATTTTATTTTATGCTTCTTTAGTTAAGAACACCTCATACTTTTCCCCTTGGGATGCTTGTTTTCCAGCTTCTAAGGTTTTCCAGCTGGAATATGTCTCTCGGAAACAAGCAGTGGGAGGAGCAGCATGGAGGAGCCTGGGCCTCTGATGCGGGTCCCAGGCTACAGATGAGTTAGGCACGCTCACTCCTCCCTGCCACCCCTTTCTCTGCTCACCCTTGTGCTGCCTGCTCACCATGTACCTCGGAAACTATGACATCACCAAGGGCAGACCCTATTCTCCTCCCCATGCCCCATGGAAATAGGAGTTGGGAAGAGAAGACTCTGGGAATCCAGTTGGTGTCAACTGTGATTCAGGACTTTGCACATCTGAGTCATGGATTTGTTCCACAATCTGACCCCATGGAACTCCTACTAGCAGCTGTTTCCCTTTTCTGTCGCCCCACCCCCCATCATCCTCTCCTCACATGCCCCCTCTGCCCACTAGCCATTTCTAAGATTCCACACTGGAACAGCATGAGCTCTCTCAGATGCCAAAATTAGCCAGGCCCTTGGCAATTTGTCCCTTAAAACCAACCTGCATCACGGCCGCATCACACAAGTGCTACCAGGCTGCTAACATGGCCGTTGGACTGATAAGTTCCTCTAGGTACTAAGATCATCACTCCAAAAGGAACACAGGGAACCATGATACCACTTAAAGGTAAACATGGCATGGGGTGGTAGGTCCCATGATACATCCTCTAAAAAGCTAAAATTGACCATTAACTTCTGATGTAAGTCTTAGACTCCTTGTTTTTCCTTCCTTCCTCTCCTAATTCCATCAACTCATCTTTTTTCTTATTCCTCAGCTTCCCAGCTACCTCCTTCCACTTCCCCTGCTCTGTTCTATGCTGTTTAGGGTGCAGCACAACTTGTTCCCTGCCACTCATTTCAATCTCTCTCTCTCTCTCTTTCACACACACACATGCACACACATACACATCTCTCTCTCTTTCCCTCTCTCTCTCTCTCTCTCTTTCAGACCAGCAATCTTGATTTCAGTACTCTGCTGGCCACTTTTCAAAGTTTGCTGGTGTCTGACCTCATCTTTACAAGATTACTTCTTAATGGAAGTGCCCAGGCAAGGCTTTATTACTGGTGACTTCATGAATTGCATCCAGTCAATGGATTTTCTAAAAGAAAAATAAAGCTGAGGATATCCACTGCTACCTATTCAAGTTGGAATTAGAGGTTAAGAGCCCAGCATCCTGCAGAGAAAAACGCACAGGGGAATTTTAGCATATTGAAATTGAAACTGGGAAATGTCTTAAAGTCCAGCCTTCTGCCTCCACACAGAAATTTATTTTAATCATATAAGGCAGATAGTTCCTTAGTTAAAATACTTTCATTTCCAATTAGAAGCGCTGTATATTGAGCAAGCTAGGCTGTGAACCATGGCAAGAACTGTGGAACACTCCACCTAGACCCTGGAAATTCAGGATGATGAATGATTGATTGTTTGGATTAAATTCCCAGAGTGGCCAGGTGAGCAGAGAAGTCTCTCTCTTCAGGCTTGTTCTAGCCCCAGCTTTTGGTGGATGACTTTAGCAGAATTTTGCCTGGATCTGGGAAGACGAGGGAGAATCAAAACTGGGGAGAGCCCTCTCCTTGTGATGTTCCATTTTTAACACAATGATATATCCCCTTTTTTGGGCTTGTAGCCCAAAGTTCTTTAGGAACTCCATATAAAGGAGAGGAATTATACTTGGTGTGGTTGAAGGGAAAGGGAGCACTTATCTTCCCTGTGGGACAGCTATGTTTTGCTTCTGGAGACCTTGCTAAATTGATTACGGCTACAGACTAGGCTGTCCAATTGCCCATCTCCTTTGAAATTTGGGCACAGAGTCTCCTGCAAGTCACAGATGCCAAGAAAATATGGCCATCCCTGAACAAAGGAGGTAAATGAAGTCAGAAAAGGAAAGTCCACAACAGACTCAGTTCTTCTTACTTTATTATGCTAGTAATGGTGGCTGACCAAATGTATCAAGGAATATTAGAAGTTTTAGTGAGACTACCCATGAAAAGCTAGTGGGAAACATTGTCAACTTCAGCCAGGCCCCAAACCATGCAGGCCAGCCTCTGACCATCTGTGGGAAAGGACAGAAAGCAATTATAAAACAGAGAGCAGGGAGCTGAATCTGTCCATATGCCTGCCTCCCAGCTCTATTGTACATGATCAACCCCAAAACCAAACCCACTGCTGTCAAGTCAATTCTGACTCACAGTTACAGATGGCAGTACCCTTGAAAAATGTCCTTTTGTGTTTCTTGTACATTTTCTAAGATCTGATGAGCCCAAAATGGTATTGATGGGTTACTTAAATCCTGGGACCTCACACTGCTAAACTGGGCTCTGAGGCAACTATAATTACTGTAGCTGCTAGAGAGATAGACTGCTGGTTTTAATAAACTTATCATCTCTTCTCACAAATGAGGGTCAGGGAAGCCCAGGGTCAAGTCTGTAGACACTGAGTGACAGCCTGTGAGGACAGTGCTCTCTCTCTCTCTCCTGAGAATCTGGGAGGTACAAGGGCTGACTTTGATTGTGTGGAGACAAATCAGGGAAGGATTCTCTCTGCTCTCCCAAGTGCACACAGGCCAATCTAGACATACAGAGGACAGGATTTAAAATCCATCAATAGAATGTTGGAATGTGCCACTTTCCTCTCCCAGCTCATTGCCCAGACAGTCTAGCATGTGCCCAAAGGATGAGGAGAGAGTGAGTCCTGCCATTCTTAAGACTTGTGAAACCCAGCTTCCTTTACACAGCCCCTGGATGGACCCACCTGAACAGAATAGCCACACTACTCTGGAAAATCCTGAGGGTCTTCTGCAGATTCACTTAAATCCTGTATTTAGACAAAAGTATTGTTGTTGTCTTTAAAATCTCTGCATGATGGTAAATGCACGAACATTCTGATGAAAGCAAGAAAGAATTGGTTCCTCCTGCTGAGTCAAAGCACAGACCTTCATGTCAAAAGACCCAACTGTAGGGGCAAGCCCAGTCACTGAGTGTACATATTCATGCAAGATTCCAAGTATTCCTTCTTGAAAACCATCTTTGGGGAAAGTGTATTTCCTCTTCATTAGATTATATTCAGAAAAACTCTCAATCTCCAGCAGGTGCTCCTCCAGCCTCTAGTTTATGCAGGATCTTCTTTCATCCTAAGATCTGTGGGTGGTGCAAATGGTTTGCACTTGACTACTGACCTAAAGATTGGTGGTTTGAATCCACCTAGCAGCACCACAGAAGAAAGGCCTGGAGATCTGCTTCCATAAAGATTGCAGCCAAGAAAACCCTATGGAGCAGTTCTACCCTGTAACACATGGGGTTGCCTTGAGTTGGAATCAACTTGAAGGCAATGGATTTTTTTCTTTGGTTTGGTTTTGGTTTTGGATTCCTCCTCTTGGGCCTGCTGTTCTGGAGCTGGCAATGAGGTTGAGACATATATGAAGAGAGAGCATGTGTGTGTGGACCCTCTAACATCCACTGCACTGCATGGCCTGGCAAATAGATGAGCCAGGGCACTATCTGTTTTAACTTATCCAAAACCTCAGCCTCCATCCATGATCCTGCTCCACTAAGAATTGACTAGTTCTAGGAAGACTCATTCTCTCAAAGGTCACCTCTGGAGGATAAACCAGGAGGCATTGCAAGAGGGTGGGACAATCAGGGCCCCAGCAGGTGACATGGCTCGTCTTGATCAGCCAAAGAACTCAAGTCCCCACTCCAGTCCTGGGAAAACCACCCCCCAGTAGGCTCATTCAGTCTTTTGCCTAGGCCTTGCCTCTTAATGATGTGCTTTCTCCCCTCCAATCCTCTTGCTGTCCCCTCACAGGGTGCAGGCTGCACTGCCCTCGTAGTAGCCGTGGTGGCCCGAAAGCTGGAACTCACCAAAGCAGAGAAGCATGTTCACAACTTCATGATGGACACTCAGCTCACCAAACGGGTAAAACACCATGTGTCCACATTTTAATGGGGGGGGGGGGTGTCTTAGTTCTCTAGTGCTTCTATAACAGAAATACCACAAGTGGATGGCTTTAACAGAAATTTATTTTCTTACGGTGTAGGGGGCTAAAAGTTTGACTTCAGCATATTGGCTCTTGGGAAAGACTTTCTTGGGGTTGGCTCTGGAGGAAGGTCCTTGTCTCTGCTGAGCTTCTGCTCCTGGGCAGTCTTCATGTGGTTTGGCATCTCTCTTCTCCCTTCCCTGCTTCTCTTGTTTGTTTGTTTAATCTCTTTTGTATCTCAAAAAAGATTGACTTAAGACACACCTGCTTGAATTATTTCTTTTAGAAAGATCAGCACAAGGCCGGTCCCTATGAGGTGGAACTTAAAGATGTCCCAAATGTCCAGCTTTTCCAAACTGCTGTGCCACTCCATCATCTCTGACGTCAACTCCTCCTCCCCTCAGGAATCTCCCTCCTGTCTTTGGGTTCTGTATTTTGCTGTAAAGTCTCACAGAAGTCACAGACTTCCAAGGAAATAGTTGTGTGGTGGTGGTGGAGGCTGGGAGGCTGGCAGGCTGTTGTGTGTAGGTCTGGAGGATTCTTCCAACTCACATGGCTGCAGGGGTTGGCGAACCCAAGTCGGCAGGTCAGATGATGGCTGCTGTCTCAAGTCCAGGGGTAAGATGATGACGAGCCAAACAAAGGACCAGAACAAGAGAGCAAACTTTCCCAGAACATTCACATATATACACTCAAGGAAGCTAAGGGTGGTGACTTGAGCCATACCCTCCGGCAAGGCAGGACTCAAGATGCATCCTACCCTTGACAGGCATGTTGTTGTTGTTGATATGTGCCGTCGAGTCGGACCGGACTCATAGCGACCCCTCCTTGGGTTTCCGAGGCAGTATCACTACAGAAGTAGATTGCCCCATCTTCCTTCCGAGGAGTGGCTGGTGGGTTTGAAC